AGGGAAAGAATGGAAATATTAACCAAGGAAAATGTACTAGCTTAAAAATTGAATCTGGGTCTACACATCCACAGGATTGGCCTCATGAGCAAAGATGCAGCTGCAGTATATTTTTAGAGGTCTTGTCTTTGGGTTGATGTCAAGGTAACTTTCCAGGTGAAACAAAATCCAATGGTTCTTTTGGGAAACCAATCAGCTGGGATCACTCCCCAACAAAAATCACTCAGTAAAACAAATTCAAGTTTTGAAAACTAATTGTGGGCTGTTTCTGATCACGCAATAGCTATAGTAACATGATCCAGGTATACTAGCATATTCTACACCTGTTGAATTCAAGGGGAGTTTTGCTATTCATTTTCAATTGCATCCGGATTTTTCAGACAGTATACTCATTGCACAACTAGTTCTCAAAGGCACTATACCAAAAAAAGCACAAAATGGTATGTTAATAAAATAAAACTAAGCAAAAACCTATATATCCTTGCAGTTATTACTTCTACCAGCATTTAATTGATGTTGAAGTAGCACCTCTGGGTTCCAGTCAGAAATTCATACTCCACTTAACCTAATCAACTTAACTTACTTAAGAATACCGGATAGCTCTTGCACTAATAATACCATACGTATTTTACCACAAATTTTAGTACTAAGAATATTAGTATGTTAACCTGTCTAAATCCAAAGATTATTATTTGATTGAGAGAAATTATTACTTCAACAGTGCTTTCTATCAAAGGATATCAAAAAACTTTTCAAACAACATGCTTTTTCATTGTTGGGTAGCCCCTTTGGAAGGGCGGGTGCCCTTGTACCCGATGGGGTTTCACTGGCACTTGTCCGCACCCCATGCCCTCTCCAGTTAGAACAAGGCAACTCCCTCCTCTTTCTCCTGTATGCTCCCTCCTGCCACGACTTTTATTTTTGATTGATGGTTATTAAAGATGGAAGGGACAGAAGAGTGGGGGAGGTGTTGGTGGTACCACCCAGATCCCTGCCGAGGGCTGGTTTGCTCCCGGATGTTTGTGCTGGCAAAGAAAACAGAAAACGGCAAATGTTATAAGTAAAAACTAGAAAGAAAATGTATTGGGACCCAGCAGATCCTCCTTTTAATTCTCTCTTTTTTTTTTTTAATCTTTTTGTTGATGGTATGAGGGTAACCTTCTCGAGTTGGCCCGTCCTTCCCTTGGTCATTATTGCTGGCTCTCCCTTTCCCTCAGATTGCCAACACGCCCGGCTTCATTGGTGACTTGAAGTGGTTAATCAGCGCCGAACTCCTTAGGGGGACCATCCGCCCCCCTTTTCTTCTCCCCAATTGATCCCTGAAGTCTGGGGCACTACGTTGCCAACGAAGACTGCCACCACTCACAATGAGTAGAAAAAAAAGGGGAGACCAGGTTGGGGAAAAGGAGCACCGGTGCCTCCCGTCCTTTCCACCCTAATTGCCGCAGCATCCACTTGATTAGCCGGTGGCGGCATTTAATCAAATGTTCCAACAACAACAAAAATGGACTTTGTATCTGAGGTGGAGAGTGCCTGTTCCTTCACTTCCTCTCCTTCTGAGGGCTCCTCCAAGATCCCCAAAACCCTTCTGGCACCGTCTTCGTCTCTACCGCGTCTTCAGACCCCAGCAAGGTGCGAACTTCTTCCGTGCTGTCCGTCATCTTTTTTTCGGTCTCCCCCCAACCAGGCCACCGATCGGCCCCGGATATTGCTCCTGCCGCTGTGATCCACCAACATGCTTCACCCGACAAGGTGTTAAAGAGGATCCGGTGTGTGCTGGTAGCTCCCGCCATAGTG